TAATTGCTCCACTGTTATCAGAGCAGCTATAAAGCATATCCAGCCACAGAAGCAGTTCGAGCACCCGTACAAAGATAAGGATGCGAATAGGCCTGATTGGTGGCCCTCGTGTATCACGCATATGAACCCTGGACATATGAAGAAAGAAGGTATATTTTCTTATATAGGGCTTTCTAATCTGTGTTGACATTTTGTTGCCCTAGACCGCATCGAACTGTTTATTCACATTCTTCATAACCACGGTGGCTGTGGTATAAATGCCGATAAATTGATGGAAATTGCTACAGATGTCAAAGAGAACCTACGGAACCCAGAAGATATCAAGATTATCCATGAGGTCCTTCAGGTTCGAAAGATGCAGGAACAGGCTGAGAGAGGTGAAATAGGTATTTTCAGAGTACTCCTAGCATGTTTCGCAAATAGCTCACGCTTCTTAGATGCCAACACCGTTACCTACGTCAACAAAGAGTATGCGTCTATCAACGCAGCCTCGGCAGTTAGAGGAGCTCCAGGGCGTGGATATCAGGGAATGGAGCAGGGCTACGTTGCCCCCAATATTTCATCCACGCCTCTCGAATTCGAAGACGTCGACGGTTTCACCTTCAGCTCTCAAGTCCAAGAATTTTATGGCACAGGGACTGACATAAGGCCCTACGAAAGCTCTATGACATCCCATTTTGATGTTAGCTTCTACGATGCTACAAACCAAGTGTTTATTAGACATAATGGGCTGCCGGGTTATTACGACGGATCTTTGTAATTGATTTAGTGATTTCATACTTGTTTTCGAGATAGAATATATGAAGAAGAGTTATATTGATCTATGATCTTATGGGCATTTCTTGTAATCATAATTGCACAGTCAAATATAAACATAAACCACTTCAAGGACCGTAGTAAGATTCCCAATAAAAAAGACTATTATATATACATACGTGGATCTATACCTGAATATTGCCCCTGGAATCTTGCTACTGATTCGGTCACTAATTATATTTATCGCATTATGTATTTGAGAATAAGGGCAGCGCTATAGTTTTATCGCGGTATTCCGCTGAAATCTTTTCGAGGTTCTAGGCGACCACTTCTCCTTCGGGGCTTTTTAAATAGATCTGTTGCCCCGTTTCTAGGTTGGATTTCCATATTTCTATCTTTTCCAGTTCAATTTTCTTTGTGATACTTGCTTGCTATTATGTACCAGGGTACCTGGCAATTTTACATGAAAGTGAGTCAACCTC